CTTTCCACGTCTGCAGGAATTTAAAGATTATTAAATTAGACATTTGAAAAAATATCGAGGTCTTCAGCTAATTAGCTGATGAAGAAGACTCAGCGGTTTCAGCAGCTCAGCGAGAAGCCCATTAAAAGAACCTTTCATCAATAGTTTATAACATAGATGGAAGTATAAGGAAAGCTAAGCGAAATGGTCATTTTAATGACGAAATTTTAACCTGGAACATTTTGCCTTGTTATACGTCTTGCAAAGACGAAGAAACAACAAAAAATCTTCTTGAAAGGTAAACAAACCTTTGCAAAAGGAAGTGCTGTTTTTTGACCACTGACCATCACTAAGACATGTGACTATTGGCTGTCCATGCAGTCTGTAGCCTTTGGAACAAGAAATGTGGCATGTAGTGTCGTACTGAGGGGAATTTCTGCAAGAGCTTGGTGTCACCTGACCATCTGTTGGAGCTTGAAGGGACTTACAATGGACAACTAGCGGAAAAAAAAAAAAAAAAAAGAAAAGAAAATTTCCTTATTCAGCGAAAGCTTTCAGCATTTTCTATACCAAAAGGTATTTGCGCACTTCTCTGTATGAAACTGGGAAATTCAAACAAATCCACTCAGAAATCGTGCGGAAAAGGATTGTTCTCGTTCAGTCTTTTTTTTTTTTTTTCGTTTGCTAGTTTCTATAACTAGCTGTCAAAGACTAAACAAAACAAACAAACAAACAAACAAACAAACAAAAAACGAGCAAAAACAAAAAGCGAATGCAAGCCAATCCAGCTTCCATGCACTTTTGGTCCGCTAACGACATTTGACTGAGATATGAAGACCAATTTCCAGGTATCAAGAAAGTTTGATCTGTTACCCATCAACGTAACTGTAGTTTGTAAAACCTAGTTGCAACTATTTATGCTTTGTACTTCTTTCTCTACCTTGACAGTACGGTTCCTCGCCAGACCAGGTGCCATTTGCTAGACAGACCGTCTCCGTCGAGCCGTTAACCCGGCGGTAGCCACGGGCGCAATATAAAAGACATTTATCACCAAACACGTTGTACAAGGAACTGCCTCCGCAGCCAGACTGAATGCTGTGAGGTGGTGGAACGAGTCGAGTACACTTAGCCACTAAGAGAAGATAAAATAAGGCGACCTATTACTTTGTGCACTTGAAAGACTTACGAGCTAGAAAGATCAACTCGAGTCGAGCACACCTGAACAAAATGATGAGGAAAAAAATAATTTACGTTTAACTGAATAACCTATTACTCTGTGCGCTTAGAGTTAAAAATATTACCTTTTAATAATAATTTAATAATACCGAAAATATGAGCCACTACGATGTCAGCTGCTATTAATATTGCAGAAGGCTGTAAACCATTTATTTTCAAGCCGGTGCTTTCGGCTTCGCTGTAAACGACGATGGTTCTAGTTGCAATTCCTTATGGCATGGAAAATCAAAGTTATTTACTGAAGAAATAGAGAATAACGCTTCTTTACTCGGCACAAAGACCAACGTGCGTAGAAATGTCAATTACTTAATCAGGATTTATTACGAAGGTCGTTAAAAAAAAAACAGCAAATTAGGTAATTCTAACAAGTGAATATCGTGAATCGCTATTTTATTTTCCTTTATATTTTTCTTTTTGCCAAAATACACAGCGTACATAACAAAAAAAAACAACAAAAAAAAAAAATATGGGTTCTGACATCAGCTCCAAAATTATGTTAATTACATACCTTCACATTTTGTCTCATTGCCTGTCCACACCCCCTTTGATGTAACTGGATCTTTCTCGCAAACTTTGCGGCCTGAGCCATTGATGGTGTAACCATCGTGACAAGCGAAGGAGCATTCTGACCCGTACTGATTGTCTTTGGTACACTGTAAGGCGCCGCCAGCTGGAGCATACAACGTAGGCAGGCATCGGACTACTAAAAAAGGCAACAATAGTGCAAAATTCAAATTTGAAAACGTTATTTAGTACCTGAACACGAATGATATACTTAAAGAGCTTTCGCGCGAAAGCATGATATCTTTACGCGTGTTATGTCATACGAGAAAAGATCACTGTTGCTATGGTTGCATAACAAAAGCGCCTTTCACAAAAAAAGGCAAATTATGTGGTATTTCATTGGCGTTTATATAGTAAATAGAACATTACATGGCTGCTTGGAGAGACACAATTTCTCTTCTCGTTTTGACAAAAATATATATTTTCCAACACGTGAACGGAAATTTCGTATCTTCGCGCTGCAATATAATATCCTCTATTTAACTGATTAATGGCATGGAATATAAAGACAAGAGCAAATGTTTTAAAATCTTCCTAATTCAGCTTTCAGTGGTAAAAGAACCCCCTAAAAACCCTCAACGGAGCTGTACATACATTCTTTTAAAACACGTCACTGACAAGCTATTTAATAGGTAGGGCTGATCAGTTCAGAGCTGACATTTAAATGGCTCGATCACAATCAAACTGTTATATGATTAATCAGATATTTGAAACAAATATTCTCGATTATAGAGTCTATTCCAATCTCTGCGTAGGGATGGAGGGGGAAGGGGATGGGGCATGCGCAAATTACCTAAAACGAAGACCTTGAATTTGCATTCGGCAACGTTCCCTGTTTTGTCTGAGGCCAAGTACCGGATGTTGTGTTCCCCAGCGGGGAAAGTGTCCCCAGGTAGTTTCCCATAGTGTGTTATGTTGGGAATGAAGCCAGAGTTGTCTGCAGCTCTAGGGTGAGACCACGTGACTTGTGTGGACTTTGTACCCCTGTCAGCGGTAGCTCCAATATTTGATGGACAGTTTGAGAACAATGGTGCTGAGACATCTGTAAACGAAAATGATATATTCTTTAAAATAAGAAAAAGACGCCGTTAATCAGCCTTGACTGTTATAACTAAGATTAATAAAGCCTGATCGGCATCATAAACAGCATCAACAAAAACATTACCACTTCCTCTCCTTCGAGCTCTACTTCTTCTTCCTCTACCTTCTCCTCCCCTCGTCGTCCTTCACCTCATCATTATCGTCATGAACAACAACAACAACAACAACAACAACAACA